TTTCATAGACATATTTTGATGTCATATTTTTATTTGTCAACATACATTTTCATAAATGTCTTAAAATATTTTCATTTTCACGACGGACACACCCCGCCCCCCGCACATGCCCCGCCCCCCGAGTACTCGAGTAAAAATTTTGAGCCCTGTCAATGATCGAAATGAGAAATTAACAAAAATGCCCATCCCTATCTCGGACACATTCGGTCTCTCTCGCGCAATGAGCGCGCTCGCGCCAATCGCTTCGCTTTTGTCCACTCCAGCGCCTCATAAACACACACACACCAGAGAAAAAAACTTTGCAGGTCCTATGGCGGAGAGAGAGCCTACTCGGATGAAAGCCGCTTCAGTGAGTTCAATTATAGTAACGCCACATTTTTTTTGTCAGTAACGGTAACTGCGTTGTAACGGGGGAAACAGTAATTCGTTTGATTACTCGTTACTGAAAAAGATAATGCCGTTAGTAACGCCGTTTATTTATAACGCCGTTATTCCCATCACTGTGCACGAGCACAAGCTGTTCATAACCAAAGGAGCATCAGCCGCACAAATCTTTTGTTTACAGTCATAATGTCTTCAGAGGTAATAAAGTTATAAATCTGCAAGTCATTTTAAATATATGAAAGGCATTTGAGTAAATTACACACTTATGTGTGAGGGGAAAACGGGGGTAGTAGAAAACTTCGGTTTTTGTTTCCATCTATCTCCATGTTGAACTGTTTTATGTGTTTACTGTATCCACTTATGATTGTATTATTATGGAAACACGTTCATGAACAATTTTCTTTGTCTTACGTGGAGTTTGCGTTGGGGTTTGGAATGAACTACAAGCTGGTCTCTTTGAATCCATCTTCTACTTTTGTCGAAAGTTGACTAAAGTTTTGTCGCTCGAGTTGTCTTTGCTGATACGGAGACTGGCGGCGAATACACAAACCTGCCAGATAGCCAGGGGAGAGTGAACGCGCATGACGACACGCCCAGTCTCAAATTCCGTCCCGAATCCCTCTTATTTATTTTACTGTACAGGAATATAGAGGCAATCGCAGTGATCAGAGAAGGGCTCATTCAGCCCATCAGGCAATTGTTTAAGCATGTATGGGTTAGAAAAACTTGTATTTTTAACATGAAATGTTGCGCAATGCACCTTTAATTGAAAATATTAATAATTATGGTCTTGGATGCTCCTATTTATCATTGACCAAAATATCTTGCTTCATTCTGAAATTTGTCACATTACAGAAGCATAATGGGTTGTTATTATTTCATGTGAAATTAATTTTTGAAAACTTAAGCTAAGATAACAGCATTGGCCTAAATCAAATCAATACATGAGCCATTCTGAAAGTCTTTTTATTCTGTGTCTGTGAACTGTTTTCTCTGTCAAGGTGTGTGCGGATCCTGGGCAAGCTGGAGAACGTTCGTGTGGCGCAGTTGAGTCTGTTTCAGGGAGTAGCCAAGACCATGCATGCGGCACCAACCATTGAGATGAAGGCCTCCGACAACCCAGCGCTGCAGAGCTCCAATCCAGACCCCACCATCTTCTGCACCGCCTTTAAGAAGAACCGCTTCTACATGGTGCCGTTACAAAAACCCTTAACATTTACAACGCTATCCTGAAGCTTTGGTTTCTGAATATGTTACTAATACTATAACAATTATAGTGATTTCTGTTTAGGGCTTTCCACACTTAACTTACCTCTGTTAAGTTATCTCTGGTTCTTTCTAAACCCCGGGTTAACCGAATCCTGGGTTATCTTGTGCTGAGTTCACGCCATGTTGTAATGGACCATTTGCAAAGACCCGCCCCCTTTAGTTACTAAACCCTGGGTTAACATCCTTATTTGCATATTTGTGTCAGTGTCATTGATTGGACGAATGAAGCACCTACCTGCGTATTTACGTAAAGGCATCCTCGGATTATGTATTATGACTGTACTATCAAATTTATCCTGAATGGACTTTTCAGACTATAAGGTTAAGAATTAAACGGTCTATTCTTTACTCCAATTGATGTTTTCCATCACCAACGATGATAACCCGGGGTTAAGTGCAGTGTGACAAGCTCTTATATTACTTTCCATTGGTGTCCAGAAGAATCTGACACTCTAGACTCTTAATACTGTATTTTGTTTTTGAACAGTTTACAAAGAGAGAGCCGGAGGACACCAAGAGTGCTGATTCTGACCGTGACGTCTTTAATGAGAAGCCGTCTAAAGAGGAAGTGATGGCAGCCACACAGGCAGAAGGGCCGAAAAGAGTGTCGGACAGCGCCATCATTCACACCACAATGGGCGACATTCACATCAAACTCTTTCCTGTGGAGTATGTGTTTGTGTCATTTGGCAGCAGTTTGGTCTGAGACGGCAGTACGTTAACTTATTTATTTGTGCTTCTCAGGTGCCCCAAAACAGTGGAGAACTTCTGCGTCCACAGCAGGAACAGTTATTACAACGGACACATATTCCATCGTGTCATCAAGGTATGAGCACAGTAGTGTTTAGATGTGTGCCTAAGGATTTGTGGATGAGAGTTGAACAGGTGGCTTCTCGTGTGTGTGTGTGTGCGCAGGGCTTCATGATCCAGACCGGAGACCCGACGGGCACAGGGATGGGTGGAGAAAGCATCTGGGGTGGAGAGTTTGAGGACGAGTTTCATGCCACACTGAGGCACGACAGACCCTACACCCTCAGCATGGCCAACGCAGGCCCGGGTACCAACGGGTCGCAGTTTTTCATCACTGTCGTCCCAACTGTAAGACCATCATCACTTTTTTCCCCATTTTTGGGTTGCTTGGGTTGTCTTTTTTTAATGAAACTTTTAGATTTCAAGATACATTTCTGAATTCGACTACACTGGTTGCACTGTTTTTCATAGGACAGTTTTTCAAGAACAGTTCATAAATTAATTAATTAAAAAAAATCTATATTTTTCCCAGCCCTAATTATTCAATCAAGTCAATGTAGTCATAAATGTCACACTGCCGTCACTTCTTGAATGTCATGTCAGTTACTATGACTTCAGGGAAAATCATCTCAAGTCATTCATTTTGAGCTGCCAGTTTGGCTAATAGTTAATTCAATTAATTGTTTTGTCATTCTCTCTTCAATTAGCCCTGGCTGGATAACAAGCACACAGTCTTTGGGAGGACCACTAAAGGTATGGAGGTCGTCCAGCGGATCTCCAACTTAAAAGTCAACCCCAAAACCGACAAGCCATATGAAGACATCAGCATCATAAACATCACTGTCAAATAGATTTGCGGCCTCAGCTCTACTCTTCTGATTTTGTAAAATAAAGTACCCTTTTTTAAATAATACTAATTTTCATTAGTGATGCATCTTTCAGCTTGGTTTTTAATAGCGTAACATTATGAATGGTTATACAAAAAGCCATGGTCGTATCAACAACGAATGTGGGTGAGCAGTGTGCTTCTCGAGAGGCGTCCAAAACTCACATTCACGATAACTTCAGATCCTCCTGCAATAGGGCACAGGGAAAGTCTTCACACATGCTTTTATCTAAGTACAGTTATTCAACATTACATGGCAATGAGGATCAATGTTTCAAAACAAAGGATGGTTCCTAATGCGGATAATGCCAAGTAATGGAGCATTTACATACGGCCACAGTTGCGTTATACATGAAGTATATCAATGAATGTAAATGTAATGTTTTTGCTTTTAAGATGCTAAGAAATACTTGTTCCAACAAATCAAGATACAGCCAGATATTAATAAGCAGTGGACTGATGAACTGGAAACTGGTTTATACTTTTTTTTTTTTCTCCATGACAACTACAATTCTCCTTTAAATATAAATAATCAGTAACATTGTTTTTTGCCACAAACACATCCATCTCTTCATACATTGTGAAAATACACCTACACCCATGCATCAGTCATAAGACCACAAAGGACATTTCAATAAATATTTACAGGCTCATTTTAAAGCTCCAAAAAACTCACAACAGCCATACAAACAGCTGGAGATGTTAAGAATAATGGTATGTCTTTAGGTGAATCTCACAACAACAGCGAAAAAACATGTGGGTCACATTTCAAGGGTCCCAAAATTGCAATTTTGCATAACGAAAAAAAAAATATTTCTACCATTCAGAATTTAAACATTGACATTTTCATAACAATTAAGCACATTATATTTCTCACAGATGTGTTTAAATCCCAGTGACGATTTTAATATTTATTTGAATAAATATCCATAAAGGCAATAATACCTTAAATGTCTAAATACTTAATTGTCTAAAACAATTTAACATTATATTACAGTAATGAGAATATAAGGGTAGAATGTGCTTGATTGTATTGAACAATGCTATAATGCAAGAATTTAATGTTCCTAGAACAAGTTTAATTTTAGAAATTAATGCGAAATAAATTGTATATATTAAAGGGAAGCATGACCTATACATGTTGACATGTTTTGTGAAATTCACCCAATTACTTGCATGTAACGTTTGATCTATGGCGATGGATTTGATCACATGACCTTTCCGATGATTTCAGTAACTGGTTAATCTGACACAACAGGCACTTCACATTGCAGTAACCATTAATCTGGTGATGGAGCCTCGTTTCAAACTTATCTAAGGGGCTTTACCTACGATTAAAACATTTAATAGATCTATATATAAACCTTGTGCTGTTTGCACACATGATACTACAGGTGTTTTAAATGGGTGGCTGTACAAAAATGACCAGTATATTTAGCTTAAGCACATCTAGAAATATCTCCAGGCATTAGTTACTATTAGGCGAATGAGCAAACTGACCTTGAAAAGACAAGCATCATAAACCAAATGTATTTTGGTTTTAACAGAAGGGACAGTAAGTTTAGTTAGTTATGTTCGTTAACTTCTTTTCAAAGGAATAGTTCATGTTAATCAACTTTATGGACAGCATCGGCAAATATAGTTTTGTTTACCACACATATTTTTGTTTACAACACAATTTCAACTCACTTTGTAATAATAAACAAAAATCTTTTCTTTTTTTTTTATACAGTAAAGCATTTCCAATGGAAGTCTATGAAGCACACTTGCCCATAGGCTTTCATAATAAGTTTCAAAACTTTGTTTTTATTTAGAAACTGAGTGATGAGCTGAAATTATGTTTGTTGATAACCTGCAGGATATGTTGCCTTGTATTTAACCTGGAGTCCTATATGAGCTCCATTAATGAACACCATTGAACCACAAGCGCACACAGCAGCAAGTCTACTGATGTATGATGGTATGACATGGGTAAACATGAGCAGGGTGACTGTGCAAATGACACGGACAGGCTTGAGTTGTAAGTCACAAGTCTATTAAGAGTGGGTAAGCGTCCCTCAGGCCACATCCAAAACTCCTGCGGCCACCAGCTGGCGTGAGAGCCAGTCCAGGCCCTCGTGAAGCCCCATGCCACTGCGGGCGTCACAGCCCTGGATGTGCCAGCTGCGCCCGCAGCACAGTTTGTGTAAGCTCAGGAGCTCCGTCATCTCCTCCACGGACACCGCGCCGGGGACGTCCTACAGAGACACACGAGTCTTGGTCAAGAGTTCATAGCGGACATACACATACTTCATGAAGCTAGAATAAAATGGCTTTTGTCTAAAAGCAGAGGCTCTGTTCTTTCTTTTGATAAATTGCATGTTCAGATATTCATACAACAAAATATTCTGGGGGACAATATTATTGATTTTTTTAATGCCATGTTCAAAACAATCATTTGTTCACATCTCTCACCTGTTTGTTGGCGAAGATGAGCAGCAGAGCATCTCTGAGCTCTTTCTCGGTCAGCAGTTTGGCCAGTTCACTGTGAGACTCCATCAGCCGGTCTCTATGACAGCTGTCAATCACAAACACCACCGCTGGGAGACAGAACAAACAACCAGCTTCAGTCATACACACTCATTAAAGTGCAAGTAATGTGTTTGTGTGAATTTCATTATGAACGAAGAAGCCACAGTGAAGTGAATTTTTAACTCCAGAAGTAGCAGAGTTACCTTGTGTGTTCAGATAGTAGTGTTTCCAGAGTGGGCGGAGTTTATGCTTGCCACCCACATCCCAAATGGTGAATTTCAGGTTTTTGTATTCAACAGTTTCAACATTAAAACCTAAAACAGAAAGAGAATTCTTTATTATCTGAACACAGTTGCATGTTTGCATTTCTGTACATGTATTTCCGTTGCACAAGGATACCTATGGTCGGTATGGGCTGCATAAACTCATCTTGCTTCAGTTTGAAGAGAATAGTAGTTTTGCCAGCTCCATCTAAGCCTAAAGTCACAACCCGGATCTCCATCTTTGGACCAATGTGCACACGGTTGTCCTGGAAAAAAAGACGGACACGTCTGTTTAATACGGATATCAAACGCATCATCACTACACAAAACTCAGTTCAAGTACAGCAGTTCCTTTCTTAGCACACTAATAACACAACCAGACAAGGCAAAGTTAGTTCATGTTGTAAAATGTCATACCAGTGCTTCATTAGTAAAATCCAAGATCCCAGAATAAATAGGGGTAACATATCCGGCAAGTTAGTGGGGTAGGGAAAGGTAACTGAGCACACATATATATATATATATAAGTATATATAAAGGTTTTCCATCCAACTATTTTTGATGCACATTTTGAAAATAAAGTTAATGCAAATAAACTCTCAGAATCAATTAATACAGAAATTGAATGCACTAAATGCAGATTATCTTGAATTTTGTGTTTGTTGAATAGTTCACATCAAAATGAATGTTCTGGAACACAAAGGAAGATATTTTGAAGGATGTAAATAACTAAACAGTTGATGGACCCCCTTTCTATACTAGGAAAAAACATACTATGCAAGTCACTGGGGTCCATCAACAGTTTAGTTATTTACATTCTTCAAAATATCTTCTTTTGTGTTCAGCAGAAGAAAGAAATTCATACAGGTTTGAAACACCTAGAGGGTGAGTCAATGATGACAGATTCTTCATTTTGAGGTGAAGTATTCCTTTAAGATAATGGAACGGTTTATTTGCATGATACTGATGACGTGTTGTGACCATTTGTGCATGTAAAACACCATGGTATTACGCATTAGGCCCAACAAGAATCTTCCAACATATCCCTTGGCATTCGTATGGAATTCTGAAGTTTAAACTCTAGCCATATCATTTTGCACGCAGACAATGGCCATTAGCGGCCGGTTAAGCCCCCATAAGCCAAAAATAAACGTATAACATTGCATTACAATGTTTGATCTATGTGCAGTACACTGCTGGAGGCATCTGTTTGTTTGACGAAAGGGACGGTCACACTACACTACACTGACTTCCATTCATATGCATGCAAATGCAGGAGACTGGATATGCAAACTCATGGAAAGTTTGCAGTGCACCAAAGTCAAGTTTGGTGAACTCTGATTTGAGAATGAATGTTTACTCCCATATGGAGTGGAGATGTGTGACCAATAGAAGATCGAAACATCACGGCGTGACCTCTTAAATAAACTCAAAGATCACAAACTTTATTTGCATGTGTTAAGTGTTAAATGGACAGTTCACCCAAAATATGTCTGTCATTAATTACTCGCGACATTCGTCATGTCGTCATTCACCTTCAAGGTCATTCTCCTACGCTGTTGACGTAGTGTAAACCATGTCGCACGTCTTGGTTCTACGCAGGCCCGGATTGGCTAATCGGGAGCACCGGGAGAATTCCCGGTGGGCCGGTCTGTTTTATTGGCCAGGAGGGCCGGTGTTGTCATGGCACTGGGTTTAATGCTTTATATAGGCTCCAGTCACAGCTTTCTGAGTGTATAATGAACGTTGTGAAATAATTGCCTAATATTAACTCTAATTTGGTGCTGCAATGATTTGCATATCGCGACGATAACCGACCTCATAATCTGAGCTGCTTCAGTATTCAAACACCGCTCGTCGGCAATGGCAAAATGTTTGAGATGACCGATCAAAGCAAGCGGGATTTATGTTCACAGAAGCGCGAGCCGCGGCCGCGCGCGAATCACAACGCGACGCTTCACGAGATAAGATGCATGTGGCTAAACTAAACAGCTGTTTTAATTACGAAAGAAGTTTTAAACGACCGAAAGAAATAATCAGTTTGTGAAGACTGTATCAATAAAAACTCAGCTTCGGGAAGGGGAGATTTACAGGTAACCTAAGATAAAGAGACTGAGAGAAGAAGAATGAGAAAAGATGGAGATGAGAAATGAGAGCAGGTAGAGGAATAGCCTATTGCATAGGCTACTGTGCCCAGAATGAGAATAACTTTATTACAATGATGATCATCAGTGTAAAAATAAGCTCAATTTAACAACACAATCCCCTATATATATATAGGCTAATATATTGCCATTGTAATTGTATAAATACAGATATTTGTATACCTCGAATGTGTTTATATTTCCCCATATCAACACTGGGACTTTTCACTGTTTGTATTACTTCACTTGTCTGGGTGGGCATATGCCCCCGAACCCCCAGCAAGATCACTTTTTGGACCTCTGTATTTATAAAACCCTGTATACGGCTATTGCACTGAATAGAAATTTATATATTTTTTTTTAATACAATGAAAAACAAGGCTGTACAGAACACTGCACTATTGCAGACTTATAGCTATACTGAGGTTTCAATTACATTATTTTAATATAGTCAGACGGGAACTAAAATGGGCCGGTCTAAGACATGAAACTCCAGGGCTGAAAATTAGTCCCACTCCGGCCCTGGTTCTACGTCAGAACACCACCTCACTATTGGCAACCCCCCTTAGTCAGCATCACACACATGTGTCGTGGTGCTCACGTGAACAGCGTTGGCCAATAGTGATGCGGCGTTTTGACGTAGATCCAGAAGCGCTGCACTGTTTACACTACGTTAACAGTGTAGAATAATGATGTGGAGGAGAAGAGATTGTTGAATAAAGTCGCTATTTTTGGGGGGTTAATTCATAACATTAAAGTTGAACGACTGTAGTCACATGGACTATTTTATCGATGTCTTTTTTACCTTTCTGGGCCTTGAAAGTTGTTGTTGCATTTCGGTCTATTGAGGGGTCAGAAAGCTCTCGGATTTCATCAAAAAGATCTTAATTTGTGTTCCAAAGATGAATGAAGGTCTTACGGGTTCGGTGAACTAACCCTTTAATGTTATGTTTTTTATGAAAGTCATATCTCATCCGTCGCTGTGTCCTTACTGTGCAAACAAGGCGATGTGAAGTACCTTAGTGAAAGTAACAGGGATGCCAGCGTCCAGCTGAATGTGGTCGGCCAGCTCTGTAAACTGCTGCTGCTGTTTCTGCAGCGTCTCTAGCAGTCGGTTGATCTCCTGTTTCGACAAAACCACCCTGCAATCATCCTGGCAAAAAAACCACAACAAACCAACTGAAATTCCTGAACTGCTTCTGATGCAGCTGAGTGTGTGACGTGACGGAGTGTGTACCTGCTGCAGTGTTTTCTCGCAGTGCAGACAGGCAGTGGACACCTGTGACAGCAGTATGGTCATGTCCTCCTGCTGCTGTCGAAGCCAGATCAGCCTCTCTCGCACGTGTGCGTCCACCACGCTCAGAGCCATCTCCTCCTGACGGCACAGGGTCTCGTGTAGATCGGCAAAGTAGGCACGCACGCAAGACCGGGCGCTCTCCGCTGTTCCTGGAACCTGAGCAGAAACCAAGAATCTTACACTGATGCAAATGCTTTAGGCGATCACAATCACCCAAGAACACTCTCATACATGTTCAGTGTGAGCCATGCCCATGCTGTCCTCCACGATCTGCTCTCCTCCTTCAATCTGCTGCACAATGCCCACTAGTTTCCTGGAGTACTCCGACACTTCCTCTGTGAACGTACGGATGCAGTGTGCCATGTCCAGGATGGACCCTCGAATCTGGTTGGCTTCACCCTCTAGAACAGCATGCTGGTAAAACATTTTCATGAAAAGAGATCAGGGAACAAGTGATTGAAAACGGGAACAAAACATCAAATTTAAATCCAATTATTGTTTGAATAATCCAATAACAATTCTTAAAATACAAAATAACCTTTTTAATCCATGCTTTGTTTGATGGATGCATTAAAAATGTTGCTATACATTATTTGTAGCAGATCTCCCATTCTGCAGTTTCTGCTGCACTTCCACACAACGGAAACTCAGGAGGGTAAGAAGTGTTTAGTTGACAGCAAATTGATTTGATTCTATATTTATACATTTTGTATTTGTTAAGTAAACTGAGAACAATTCAATTTTATTCAATACAGTGAACATAACTCGTAATGAATCTTAGGCAAGTTTAAAAAAAACTACATGCAATTTTAAATATAAAAATGTTCAGCTTTCATTTTGGGTAAAATTTTGTGATTTTTCAGGGAATTTTTTTTAAAAGATAACATTTATACATGTTTTTTTTTTTTTTTTTTTTAGTTTATTTTAGTACTTTAAATGTCGCCTTGGCAAATACATGAAAGAATTTTCTGTACATTTTATTTTCATTTTAGTTCATGTTTATTTTTAAGTAAGAGATGTTTTTAATGGTTTTAGTTATTGATTATAACCCTGCTTCAGACTTTTTATTGCACCAGAAGCAACACCAAAATAAATTAGTAATTATTTTAAAGTGAAAAATTAAGATATTTCTTGAATATTTCAATTCCGTTGCATCAGACTTTTAAACAATGCATCTAAAAAAAACAAGCATTGTTTTTACATTCCGAAAACTTTGAAGAAATTAGAAAATGTACAAGAATCGATATGGGCCCGAAAGAGAATCAAGCCAAGCCATATTCTATGCCTAAAGCGAGTGCCTAACAAGTGGTTTTGAGCTGAGTTGTATTGTATTTCTGCACCTTGTGCCCTTGGTGCTTTCCGTACTCCTTGCACACGCAGCACATGAGCGGCCCGGGCAGGCAGCCGTCCTCCAGGCACACGAACTCGATGGCGTGCACCTGGTGCTGCGGGCAGAGCATCTTCTCATGGGGCTTGTCTGCCAGGGGCACGCGCCGGTGCTTGGCCAGCGTCCGGGTGGAGTGTGTGAGCTGGCAGCACTCGGCACACAGGTGCGTGGCACACACCGTGCAGTACATGGAAGCAGTGTGAGTCTCATCCTCATCACAGCGGATTACGCACTAATGGAGACATGGCAAAAATTCACAATAAAATCACTGTATCACACATCCTAATTTATTGCTTTGATAAAAATGAGTCAGCAGCAATATAAGTGTTCAATAAATAACACAAATATTCTTAAGACAAAAATATAATATATTTAACAGTAATAAACATCAAAATAAATAATAATCATAATAATTATTATATAAATTATTATTATTTATTGTTAATATAAAGACATTTTAAAACTGAAATTGCATATTTCGAACCTCGCCCATCTCCCGAAGTGAATCCTCTGACATGCCTGACTGATTGGATGCCCCATTCTGTAGCCGTTCAAGCAATTCTAGCAGGGCAAAGTTCTTCTTTAGGCCCCACACACCCGAGTCTCCTGCAGAGCACAATGAGAAAGTTTTTCTTTCTACAAGAGAAATACTAGAGAATTATACTGTTATTATGAAGAACAGCAAAGTTAAGCTCACCCAGCTCGGTGACCTGTCTGTCGAAGGGGCAGCGGACTGCCCTGCCGTGGAGAGGCAGACGGGTCAAGCAGTCGTGACACACCGTGTGTCCGCACAGCAGCAGCCGCGGGACCTTGTCCCCCTGTAGAGAAAACACATCCTCACACACACCACACTCCAACACCTTCACAATCACATGCATACGCAGGATTAAAATTTGTGACTGACAAATGTTAGCATTTTACACACACACATACATACATACACACACAATATATATACACACACACACTGCATATACTGTATGTGTGTGTATAATTGAATGCTTAATTTAATATTTAGAAGCAGTAATTACTACATTATATGCCTACAAAGTCAAATATTACCATGCATGCATAGACATTGTATGTATTTATAAGAATAAGCTTTGAGTACAATATATGAAAACTACCATAACTTCTTAACTATATCTCCATCACTCCTCAAATTACCCTATAATTTGAGTATTTTGATGCACTGTCCCCTTTCTAGTGTTCTGTCCGGTTGGTCATTTAGCTAGCCAGCTAACCTATTCAGCACCACTGCTGTCATAACTGTACATCTATCAATATAACACACTACTTCATAACAACTTATTTTCAATCGAGCTTTTAAAAGAGTGTGCAACAGTGTGTTTATATAAAACCGCAGTGACAGTTTTGAATGATGCTATCATTAGCGTGTTACCGCCCTGCAGAATCTCACTGAACTCCAACGGGACCCCCCAAAAAACACCCCTCTCATGATTTTATAAGCCAAACATCTAGTGTTTTCGTTATTTTTGTCATGTATGTCGTACCTTCACCGCATTTGAAGTGTTTCCGCGGCCGTGTCGCGCACACGGCTCCATCGACGCCTGTTTATTTACACCGACAGCAGCGGCCATCCTCGGACTGAACCATCTAATGACACGTCGAGGTGAACAAGACATACTGCTTTTGGACTAATTCAAGCTACTATGTAAAAAAAATTTTTTTTTTGCAAAACTAATGTGTTCACTTATTCCTATTATAATAAAAAAGTATTAGATTGTTGTATGTCTGAATAAAAAATACCATTATTGTCACATAGGCATCCCTCTATGACAATGGATCAGTCCGTCAGCTGTTTCTCGTGATCGCGAGACCCGCGTTACCGGAGAGACCGTGCTCGGTTACTAACGTAACCTCGGTTCTCTCTAGAGAGGGAACGAGTACTGCGTAATAGCTTTACGCTAGGGGAAAAACTCTTTTCCACGAGATATTGAAGCCAAAAATTATCCTTAATTTTTTATTAATGTAAAACGCTTTGCAGCAGCAAGCAGACATAGGCGAAACAGCTCGCGCGCCTATTGGTTGCTCTTGCGGCAAATGCAGCAGCCTATCGAGAGAGATTCTGCGTGACGTAATGACCAATGGGGGCAATTCGCGCCCATATCGTCACGTTCCGCCAGAATGGGGCGTGGTCTCACCTTATAAATATGCTCGTTAGGCTGGTACAAGCTGGTTTTCATCGCCGAAGCGAACCAGAGCATATTCCAAGCACGGCAAGATACGCAGTACTCGTTCCCTCTCTAGAGAGAACCGAGATTACGTTAGTAACCGAGTACGTTCTCTTACGAGAGTATCTCTCAGACTGCGTAATAGCTTTACGCTAGGGCAGGGGTGCCCATGCTTTTCTGAATGGTGATCTACCTTTTAAGTGACTGGGTCAGAATGATCTACTACTCACATTACATTACGTGTGTCTTTTTTACATTTATTATTTTTTATGTATCAAAACAAACACACAGTGCCATATTGGCTGCTATTTTGCTTTAATGTTTCACACTTAAATCATTATTAATTTATGACTGAGTTTAATTTCCCTACCAACACTAAAAACACAGTAACAACAGTAACATAGTCCACAATAGAAGCTAATCAACATGCATGTGATTTCATACACAGTGGCACTGGCACTTACATTACCCGTACAATTCAGTGCATTTACAGTACATCAAAATCCACACATTGGAATGCAACTTTACCCATTCAGGTAGCACACACACACACACACACACACACACACACACACACACACACACACACACACACACACACACACACACACTCTCTGAAATGTAACTTTTTTTTAACACTAGGATTTTCTTTTAACATACATATACAGGCATTTGGCCTACATTACACACTATATCACACTACAATTCACTGTTCAAACATTGAAACTTTCGGCGTAGCCACGGGTGTGCCAGGGTGTGCTGGTGCCACCCACAGTGGCAGCTGGCACACCTAAAAGTAGATGCAGAATTATTTTTTAAAGTCGTAATAAAAATGTTTTTCTAAACTTGGACTATTGTTGTTTACTTACAAGTTAAAATGTAATTTAATTGTTGAATTATTATCGTTAACATTCGGACTGCCAACCAATCCGCAAACAGCCTCTTGACTGTCTGATGGTAACGGTTGCGCTGTAGAGGCTCGCGCAGCCTCATGAGGAGAAATGAAAACAAATGAGCGCAGTTCACACACAATGAACATACATTGGTTAAAAAAAATGTATGTAATGTGGAGTTTTTTATATTTAGGCTATAATATGATACAGTTAAGCAACATCACACGACCACGAGTGCTGAATACCATCAAGATTGAAAATGTGACACTGATTTCATATGACAGTTCAATAAAAAAGTAATTAATATTAAGTCACTTACATTTTAGACAAAAATATTTTTGTTCTCTTTGAGCAGCGAAAATAGTTCCAATCAAAGATCACAGCAGAACCACAGCGCATATCATCGGAACACATAACCGCATTAGCCTACTGAATGATTCAACGCTTTAACCGAATCGGTTAGATCAAAGATTCAATGGCCCATTAAACCATAGACATCATATGATGTCTATGCATTAAACAACTGCCTCATTCCTGAACAATTCAGTCGTTTGAACGAATCATTTGAATAAATGACTCAATAACTCACTCATTAAGACGGTCACCTGCCGCCCCCTACTGGTGGTTTAGTTTTGTGTTTAAAAGGCTATCATTCTTTTCCATATTTCATATTTGTATATTCAAAAAATATTTACAACAATCTCATAACATTATTTAATGCAGTTGTAATTGTTCAGTGTAAATTAATTAATTTGATTGCAACAGCCATATAGTGTCTTGTTATTCCAATTGAATTTATTGATCAAATTAAAGAATTTAAAATGAAAGATGAAACATATAGCCTATTTAAAACGATTAGGGAAAAATGCTCATACATATAAAAAAATTATACATATGCAGATTTAAATATGTAAAAGCTGACTGAACACTGATGAGAATATTGCTTCAGAATAAATTATAATTTACAACACACAAAACATTTTTTTTCTTCTGAATAAGCATTTTTTTAACTTGGACAAGTGAATGACCGATTTACTTGTTCGAAGGACAAGCACATGAAAAGCCTTAATGTTGAGCCCTGAGTTATATTGTAGGTGCTATATAGGCCTAGTATTATGTGGCGAGCCTGAGTAGTCTTACACTTCAGCCCAGTCTATTCTGTAAAGTTAGTGATATGCCGGGTCAGGTTTTTTGTTGCATATTAATCTGACAATAAATGAATGTGGCACACCCAGTTTTTCTTATGCACACCCAGATATGATTTTCTGGCTACACTGCTGTTTCAGACAATGAATTAACTTTATGTACAATAAGTTGCATGTAGTCATTTTCTTGCATACACATGGCATGTTCACATCAGTGGTCAGTACCTTATTCAGATGATGACTTGCATTGGATGGAGTCCACCAGGGATGCATAGTGCGGGCAATAGCTACTGATAGCCAGTCTAAGACAGGCCTCCAAATGATCGTCGGTCAGGGTGGAGCGGTATTTGGATTTGATAAATTTCATATGTGAAAAGGTCGATTCGCACAAGTAAGTAGACCCAAACATTGCAGTCAGTGATGTTGCACATTTTCTCATGTTGGGATACTTTTCTTCTGTGAGTAAACTCCAGAATTGTTCATGGGCCCTAGACTTCAAGTTAATATCCGCTTGTAGTGTCAAGATCTCATCTTCAACTTCAGCAGAACTGAGCTGAAACATTGTTGCGATTTTGGAAGCGAGGACATCGACCTCAGCATTCTCCAGAAAAGGGAAGCACATAAACGTGGCAACTGGCTCGAGTAGGGCGAAGTCTTGAAATCTCCTGTCAAAGTCTGACAGGACGGTGTCAATCTGTTCTGCATAACATGCACTGTCAATCTCTGTTAAGTCCTTCCCTTGATTATTCAGCTCAGATGCAAGGTTTCTAAAGTTCCCCAGATCATGGCGTTGGATCTTTGAAGAAAGCAGTTTAAGTTTTCCCTTGAAGGCGTTCACTGTGCTTATCATATCGATCACGATTTTGTCTTTGCCCTGTAATTCCACGTTCAGCTCATTGAGCAAGTTCGCCAGATCAGTTAAAAACGCCAAATCAAGCACCCAACGATCATCATTAAGTTGCGTGTATTCCGCATGTGTGTTGTCATGTAGGAACTGCTTTACCTCAGGAAGGAGATCGCGGAATCGTTGCAGGAATTTCCCCCTACTCAACCACCTTACGTCCGTGTGAAGCAGTAGGTCTGAGTGGTCGCTGCCAGCCTCCTCAAGATGCAAGCGGAACAGTCGTCTTTGAAGAGATCTAGCACGGATAGAGCAGGCTACTTTGTTTGCTACGTCCATAATTTCTTTCATGTTCAACATTTCGCACACAACGCTTGTTGGTGTATGATACAATGATAACTTAAAAAATCCGGAAACGCCTCATCCTCTCGGCATTTGGCAACAAATCCATTAGAGCGGCCGATCATGGAAGGCGCACCGTCGGTGGTGATTGACACCAGTTTGCACACTGGCATCTTATTCTTGTCGATAAAGTGTTTGAATATCTCAAAGGTATCACCCCCTCATGTGTGAGCGTTCATATGCAGAACTGCTAAAAGTTCCTCTTTTACAGTCATGTCGTGGAAGACCATTCGAATAAAAATGCACAATTGGGCTTTGTCTGTGATGTCCGTAGACTCGTCCATCTGTAGCGAGAAGCACTCGCAACAGTCAATGTCCTTAGCAAGCTGCTGCATTAAGTTGTCGCCCATCATTTCGCATCGCCTGGTCACTGTATTTCTTGTCAACTGAACAGCTTTGACTGCAGACATTATTTCTGTTTTGTTCGTAAAGTCTTTAAACAAAGAATCCGCAGCCTCAATGAAGGCTTCCTTCACCATTACTCCATCCTGGAAAGACTTTTTGTGCCTAACGATCGTCCGACTCACCCGGAACGATGCCTCTGTTGCGGCCTTCGCTTTCGCTGTTGGCCGAGTGAAAAGAGACTGCTGTCCAAGAAGCTGAGACTTCAACTCCCTCACCTTTCTCTTTCTCAATTCACTGCTTGGAGGAAAGTCTGTATCAAAGGTTCGATGAACCATTCTAAAGTGTCTCTCTACATTCCCCTTCTTTGGAAGTGCAATGCTGGATCGACAGATCAGACAGACACACTTTGAGTATGACATCGTGAATAAGTAGTCATCTTCCCATTCCTGATGGAAATGGTAAGTCTTTGCTTTTTAAAATTCTTTTACTCCCTCATTCATTGTGGTATAATTTTTGTTTGTCTACAGATAATAAACGAGCAATAGCGAAAAGCAACGGTAAAACGAAAGCAATGGCGCATTTCTGTAGTCGACTGTCGAGATATGTTTATGGTTGTTATGGTAACGTAGTGTAAAAAAACGTTCTAGCAACCAGCAGACTGGCCTGTCTACACGTCAATCAGCGGGCACATGGTAATATAATGACATGATAGGATGGATTGCTTTTCTGAAAAGGCGCGGTGTTTTTTTTTTGTTTTTTTTTTGTTCTGTGAGCTACCGTCATTGGCTATGCGATCGACCAGTCG